ACTACAAGGTCCTCATATTCACATACATAACACCTAAACACTACACCCGTTGTTTTTTGCCTATATTTATAATTCTAGATAAAACATTAATGGTTAACATACGTATCCTCAAACAGACGAGAAATCTCGTTTGTAAAACTACTACCCAACACAATAAGTGGAATAAAATGGACATAAACCGACAACATGAAAAAGGTATAACTCACCACAACATCACATGGACAGATGAACGCTCGTTGGGCACCATATATCCCTCACCAACTGCAACCCACCTTTCCTTAGATAATGTGATGAACTTATATCCATAATGTTGCTGGGCAGTTAATATTCTCAACTCCTGTCGGAACAGCTGAAACTCATAAACCTTCCTAACGCTAAGAAAATACCCACAAGCAGTAGAAATCCATTAATTAATGCGTCCGAAGCTTATGTACTTACTCCCAACAATGACATTGAAGATCAAATGAGATAAACACATCACTGATTTCAAAATAACACATCAATGAACTATAATTCGAGGACTCTGCACACAACAAAGTTATGTATGAATATTTACTTCAAGCTTTATTTTTTTCCCAGGCACTTATAATCCATCCACCAAAGACCTGGTTTTTTGTTAATGCGAAGACAATACTCCTGTATTTCCTGTTGTGTTGCACTCACTGACAATCTAGCAGATTTTTCCAACTTTGCACAGAAATGATTGTATATAAGTGAAAAGGCTGTTTTATACTACTGGGATTAACATTTATCAAGTGTATGTATAATCTCCAGCGAACATGTAAAGCATATCTTGCTACTGCCTGTAAATTGTGATTGAATTATATGGTTCTATTTCTGTAACAATTTGATGATGCCTGTAAACTGGCGTCCCTCATGTACTGTACTAAATTTATTTATAAAACTCGGTAATGCGGAGGTGCAGAGGTCTTACATTTCGTACTGTCTGGGGGACACAGAACTGCCAAATGTTAAGAGACGGAAGGACTTAGGGATTATTGTAAGCCATGACTTTGAAACAACGACAAAATGTAATAGAGACGCAGCTAAGGCTTTTCGAATGCTATGAACACTTCGAAGGGCTTTCAAACGATTAGACGAGTGTATGTTCCAAGTACTCTATGCCACATATATCAAATACTGCATACAAGCAGTGAGTCCATTCTTCATAAAGGACGCACATATCCTATAAAGAGTACAGAGGGTAGGAACCACATTAGTTAATGGTACCTCACACTTTCCTTATAATAAGAGGATGGAGCATTTAAATCTCTTCCCAGTATCATACTGACGGAGGAGAGACGACTTAATTTTGGCTAATCATATATTAATGGGTGATTTAGGGATTGACCTTTCAAACCTTTTCTCTCCCTGTGGAATACATTTACAAGGTCATCTCCAGGAGGTGCTCAAATTGAGGTCGAATAAAACACGCGTGGAATTTAGATTCTCTCATAGAGTGGTCAACGACTGGAACTCATTACCTGACTCAGTATTAACAGCTACATCGGTGAACGCTTTCAAAGAGAAACTCGGTCTCTGCAGAGATATGTATCGCAAGGATTAACATGGGCAACAAGAGCCTTCTATGCTTGTACTTTGAATTTGAAAAATCATAAAAGACTTGAGAAATATGGAATCGAAGTGTTAGGAACCTGTGACAGCAGATGGAATGGAAATGGACTGTCCAAAGTGGTATACAGTCAGGATAAAAATCATCTTCATTTAATCTCAGGAAGATAGAGGCACGGTCTGCTGAACACAAAGTCCAGAAGAGGGACAGATATGGGTTTAGACCATTAACTAGTGCAAATGACCTTCAATGTCAAACTTGAAGCATTTGAAGCAACAGGAGATTAAATACAATTCAGTTCCAGCACCCAGATATTCGGAGAAGAAACTAAGAGACATACTCACTTCAGCCATAAGAGTGAAATCAGAAAGATTATGTGTAATCAACCAGGAAACCTGTGTGTTCGAACTCTGGGACTATTTGAAATCGATACTGTAGGAATCCTACAAGACTACCTTACGAAGAATGACTGGGCAAGGCAGTGAATGGCTTTCTGAGAACATGTGGATTACTGTAGAATATAGGATAGCGAAACGGCAGATGAACGATTGCAGGGATGGACAACAATAGAGGAGCTGGGTTCCGTCTAAAATCCAGTGAATAAAGGAGTGTGCAGAAGTGCTAAGGAAGACAAAACACCAAATATAGTATAATTATATTTCAGTGGATTATACACAATGATAAGTTTTTCTTATTGGTAATATTTCGAACAAAATTACTTTTGGAATCGTTTCCAACGACTACTCTGCAACACACTGGTAACTGAGTCCGAAGGTGTCACCAATATGGGGGACACCCAAAGCACTATGCGTCGGTGGCACAGCGGTTAGGACTCTTGCCGACCATGCACATGGTCCGGGGTTTGATCCCCTGCCGACGCACACCCGATATCAATGGTCAGCAGGCAAAATTGGGCTACGGATATCACATGCTGAAAATTCATTCCTGTACCAAAAATACGGTGTGGAATCAAGGTTTAATAAAAAAACTCGGTAGCCATCTGTAAAGCGATAATAACAGATGTCGCCAGCGAAAAGTAACGTAGAAAATTCAATCACTGAACAGACGGAATGGAGAAATCGATGAGGTTTACCACGTCAGACGACTCTTGAATCAACTGTTACAGGCCAGTCGTGCAGAAGTACGTAGTCTGTCAAAGAAATGGCAGTAACACCAAATATATGAAAGAGAAAGTTTTGAATATCATAAACCCTTCAAAAGCCGTGAAGACAGCAGAATAAGATGGAACTCACTCAGAAGTATGCAAACGGGGCCTCGAAAACCATAGACGATAAGCTTAAGGCATTAATACAGAAGGTTTATAAGGAAAGCAAGGTACCTGCCGGCTGGAAGAGGAGTTAGTCGCAGGGGATGATGACGTAGGCCTTTGTAGAATCATGCCGATCTCCATGAGAATCTGGATATCATCTTGGAGAGAACAAAATGTGCCCCCTCAAGGACAAGCTGGACTCAGAGAAAACAAATATGTTAATCAAATTACATTCCTACATATCTCTATTGGACAGAGCACAGAATGGCAGTTAAATCTCTGTGTCAAATTCACTAACTTTGAAGAGGCCTTCTTCTTTCCGAAAAGAATGCGATGATACTCTATCCGCAGTGGCGAGAAATTATATAAATCCACAGTTCTAGTTGTATATACTCAGTGATGGTAAGTCTTAGCGAAGTAGCGCATTTAAAGCATACGTATACTTCATATCATCAAGTCAGTGCTTTGCGGAATATATTGAAATCGTAGACTGATCCAAACTCACACAAAATGGAATTAACTAAATCCACACGGCAAACAAGCCGCAGTACACATTTGGATATTCATCCATATGTTGATCATGCTGAAAAATCCAAATCACTAACTATACAGCACCAATAACCTGCATATCTAAGAAATAATGAAAATATGCTGACAGCTGCATTTTGAATTCAACTGATTAATTCAGTGGTAATATTCTGTCCCTGTATGTACGGACTGGTTCACAGTCACTCTGGTTCCAGACCGGAATGTATCGAAAATTTACCGGTTGCTGATTGTACTGATTCACTAACACTTGTTTGCATGTTTAAATGGATACTTACTGCTGTGGTGAGCCTCTTACAGATTACATTGCAGAATTTACTTCTTTTCTTGAAATAGCGTTCAATCACGTGGCGGTATAGCACTCACCCAGATATACGCTGTTCACTGGTTAACCATAACTATCAGCAGGAAACAGAACGAACTTTGGATTGTCGCTCAGCTTTGATGGTGACTTTAGTAAACGGTCTACAATTTAACATTTATAGGAACCTGTTCTGATTGCTTGTACGATAATTGAATAATTTAAACCTTTGAAAAAGTATTAATTTATGATATTTCATGATTGTAATTTATAACACAACTGATCGTACCTGTAAAAATGGCATGCATTGCTTGTAAACTTACCCTTTCATACGAAATACAAATTATTATTATAAAACATTGTTGTTGGCAAACTAACTAACGTCTTGACGACATCACATCAAGTTACGCAGCTTTCTGAATATACAAAGCATCGGAAATCAAACCGTTCCAAATTAGCAAGTATGCAGGAGTAGTGAAGAGAACTTTTAATTAACCAATTGAATACACTTATGCTGTCGTCAGAATACCAAGAAACAACAATCTTTGATGAAACAATAAAATCAGCAGATATTTCGAAAAAGTGAATGTTCCATCAAACCATGAGCACCGAAGATTAAATTCGATGCAAATGAATTCCACTCTGGTCTTCAGTAAAGTATACAACTACACATCCATGTCTTCTCTAGATCAGTGCGCGGAAGACAACTGCCCTACTTCGTTTAAACCGTTGTTTACAAGAAATGAATGCCATTTTACAGGCCCTATCACTTATGTTATATATCACATGTTATATATTCTGCGTAACTTGCTTCAGTACAATATTCATCGGTGCTAATTTTAGAAAAAGTGTTATTCTTCTCCTCTCTTCACCATCGATGAATTGTGTAACACTGTGGCCAACAACGACTTAGTCACTGCTAGTGGGTCATCATTTGAAGGAGATACTTCATGAAACCCAGTTCGGTTGCAGAACAAGAGCGTTTTGTTCAGCTAAGATGTTGTCGGGCTGAAAAGAATGGACGTGGCGCAGAAGTGATCACAGAGGCAAAAGATGTTGGGAAAACTAGTGCCGACTTCAGCCCTCCAGTACAATGCAATACAATTGAAATGAAAGGACGTGACTTCAAGAACATGAGGCATTATTGTACAAACTAGAGTTTTTTGCTGACATGACTAATAATTGTTAATGGACTCTATAATGTGGAGAAAATATTTAATATGAGATAGAGGAAATGGAGAAAATCTGATGTTCCTAATTAGAGTGATCGTGTTGTATCATCTCGCGCTCAAGGTTAAAACTATTTATAGTAAACGCGCGACTTTTGAAACCGTGGAAACCTGATGATGATATCTTGAAAGTTCGTTGGAATCAAGTACAGTCAGGAGCCGACTCTGACGCCATGAATATCTTTGAAAACAACATGAACAAAGCTGCTGAGCCTAAACGTGGTTCTGCAAAGGTTTTTGATGAATTATTAAGATCAAAGTTTATTTTAGGCTTTCAATCAGTCAGACTTTACAGCTTCTCCAGAATATAGTGAACAGTATGAAACGGACTCTGAATTGAGTGATATGAAAGAACAAACTGATTCGAAAGGCCGAAAAGTACAAGAGACAAGTGGCAACTTGCGTACACAAAGGAGGAACAATCAAATCAAGAAACTTCGTAGGTATACTTGGTATTAAGCATGGAAATTATTTCTTTTTCGTGTTTTAAGCTTTTGATGCAAATGCATTCGAAGTCTACGTGGTTTTTCCTCACCATTTAATTGAATTTTACTAAACTGTTAGAACTACCCAAGCTTACAACAATTCTAAACTTATTCTAACCTATTCTTCGATAATGCCTTTTTATGGTAAATGAAGATTTTATCTACACACTATGTTCTGAAATGACGCTGGCCGTGCTTAAAAAGAGAGCTGGGTGCTGAATTAAGTCTTTTCGTTCTGAAGTAACGCTAGTCCGCGCTGAATATGTCCTGTGAGGGCTGAAACAACGCTGATAAGCAAACGCAGTAGGTTCTGATCTACTCCTGAGAATGCCTAGAAAAAGAACACGGTGCTGAATTAGTGCCAGTCATGCTGAAAACCAGCACTGAGTTCTAGTCTGTGCCATTAAAGAATCCATTTCAGAACAGATTCAGAAGTTACTCACTATAGAACGTGAGAATTATTTCAGAATTAGTGGGATTTAATTTAGCATTATGGTAAGCTTGGGTAATGTTTTGTGATGTCTTTAATTTGTAAGGTTGCTTAACCACTTGCTTTTTGCTTTCATAATAGTGTCATCTCTGGGTTTAAGATATTTTTCAGGTAATAACATCTGGTATGTAGTAATTACCATCATAATACTATTATACTTTAATGGGTCAGTGCATATCGATACAGAACAATCTATCCATAATTGTAATAGGTCATGGATTGTCTTAAAAAAATAGTGTGCATGATATTACAGCCACCACTTTCATGACTTTAACAAAACCAGTGCCCTACACTTTTGAACAATAGCAAAAATTCAATATGCTATTGCATCACACATTGTGTTTGCTTAAAAATTACTGATGCACTTATCTATATCACTTTTATTCTTGTCAATGCTGTCCTATTCATTAACACAGTAAGTTAATTCACTTAGTAGCAATGATGTCACTGAATACTTTTAGAGGTAAGCATTGCTCCGTATCATAATCATATTTTCACCTTAGTATGCGCTGAATAGAGGTAATACTGGAATCGGCAAACATATCTAAGACAGGAAGTAACCTGATGATTTCTTTGTGCTTTGGCAAAGGTGTCAACTTGCCAACAGTCTTAATTTATCATACTTAAGATGCACAAACATGACTTGTGTATAACAACCGCTTTTTCATACATATGATAATGGCAGTTATGCATTTCAGGAGGCTCTGTGGGAGACTGGAGAGATGGGGTAACTTATATGTATTTAAAAAAAATTATTTCAATGAATTCATAGAGTTAACTCGCACTGACGTAAAATTCCGTAAATAGTAGTCCCTACTACAGTCAGGCCCTTACTGACATCTGACCTTTCCATGAAAATCTTAGCAATTAACTGTTTTTCTAAACTTTGTTGTTCCACTGAGTCTAGAAGAAGGTTTATAACTTATAGTAATATAATACATGGGTACTGGTTCTCACACAGAGTCATAAACTCTTGGAACCGACTCCCAGAAGAAGTGCTGTCTGCAACCTCAGTTGATTCGTTCAAGAAGGGTTTGGACAACCACAGAATTTTACTAGAAAAGGATTAACATAGGCTCCAAGCCTTCTATCCTCAAACAATAAATCTGAATTTGATCTGAATCTGATACCAGTTTAATTTTGTCAAAACTTGACGTGACTTTAAACATCGATGATCACAAATAGATAGAGATTAGAGGAAGATGTGTCATTTTTATTGCACAATGAGTGGTGGAGTAATTTCAGGTCAAAGTTTAACCCTTTTCTGATCGAATTTCAACAGATAAAACAATGCAGATTTTCCTCTTCCTGCCTAAGACCTATTATTTCACCTTTGGAATTCTTTATAAGCCAACACCTTACACAATAAATGATGTTGGCTAATGTAGGAATAAGTTAAAAAGAGTTAATGTAGCAGAAATGAAATATAATGATAGTCCACTAAGTTTTTGACCATTGTTTTCAGTAACGTAAAATGGTGTAAACTGGCTGTCTGGCGTTCTCGAGACACTGCGAATCAATGACTGGGGACTGTAGGTGACACTGCTTGGAGTCCTTTTCAGTGGTGCAGATCTCCGAACATTTTCGATTATTGTAGATGTATTCGTTTTCTTTTCTTTTATCTACGGTTTTCTGAAGTACAGCCACCTAAACTGTGTGCAAGTTTTATGAAATTTTCACTAAAGGAATTCAGTTTACTTCAGATCTTACTAACTTTTTTGGTATAAACTATGTGACCACTAGCCAATATTTGATAGAAACTTCAATCATTCAGTCTTCAGAATAAGCTGGAATTTTTCTATTAGATTTATAGTGTGCCTAATAAAATCTCTGTTCTTGGAGATACTTTTTAATCTAAATTTTACTTATTTCCGTTGATGTTAACCAATGAAAAGAGTTTGTAGTCTTAAAGATACTCATCTTTTATCACAACGCAAACTGTTATTGGAAAATATATAAATATGTGGTATATAAGTACTCATTCAAGGATTATTCTTCTTTTCTAAGTTTCAGAAACTCTATTTTTCTTTGTGTACAGAGTAGCGTGGACACTAACTAATTAGGTCTTTATGATAATTATCCAGTTCACTAGCCGCATAGATTCAGTTTGCCATTTTTAAAGCGAACATAAGTAGAGTAAAACTAAAACGGGAATGAAGAATAATTAAAATCTGCAGGGTCGCAAAGAGTCATTGCAGCTGCAACATTTAGAACCGTTTTGAACCATATCAGTAGGAGTCTTGAGCCAATGGTTCTTAGGTGGGTCGGTCGGTTTTCGACATAGAACTTTGCACATATGTGCGGCAGTTCAAGTCACCGCACTCCATGTAGCACACAAAGCCAGAAAAGAAGAAAGTAGGAGAAATGCATATTAGAGACAGTAAACAGAGGTGTGAGACAAAGGTATAGTAATAAAGAAGAACAAAACAGTTACATTTGAAATCATAAGTCACAAGGAGTGGATGCATCTGCGCCACTGAGAACGATTTTGAGCCATGTCACCAATTGTTTCCAGCTATCATTGGTTTTTACCGTCCCGAGGACCCCAACCAGTCAGGAAGTCTACACCTTCCTACGTGGCTTAAGCAAACTGTTGTGGAATTCATTGACTGGTGCCATGTTTTTGTTTGACCGCCGCTAGCTCTTTTCCAACCTGATCCATCCTATGTCAGCTAACATTGCCCATCGAGGAAGGCAATGACCAGGCATACGTAACACATGTCCTAACCATCTCAGTCGATGTAATTTCACAGTCTCGTTGATTGATTTCCCCGCCTTACCTAGCACTCGACGCCTAACCTCAATATTGCTCACCTTATTATACCACCTAACGCACACGGGAGATAGAACGTAGACACCTATGATCGAACACAGATAATCTGTTCATGTCGTCCGCCCTCAATGGGCAGGTCGCACAGCCATAAAGGAGGACGGAGCGTACTGTTGAGCAGTACACACGCCCTTTGGTCGATAGGCAGCCAGATATCACGTCTACGCCAGAGACGGCGTAAACTGGCATATACAAAACTAGCAATGGTTCTTATCATCTCGAGGATCCCAGTAAAGCAGTTTTCACCTGCCTATGTGACATAAGCCATCTTCCAAAGACTATGGATTTATTCCATATTTTGATTTGATCGCTTTTGATTCTTTTCAAACTTAATCATTCGTAAGCTTGACAGAGAAACGGATGGCTTGACATGCGTAATGATGTGTCCTAGTCATCTCCATCGTTGCAACTTCACAACCTCATCGGTTGAATTTCCCTCGTCATCCAACATATTCGCTTAACCTCAGTATTGCTTGGCATATTATGTCACTTAACCCTGGAGATAGAATGCAAATATCTGTGGTCAAAGACGGTCAGCTTCTTCGAGTTTTCTTCCACTTCTTGCTGTCACAAATTGTGGTTATAAAGAAGGACGTGGGGAACTGCTACTCAGTATGCACGTCGTTCGATGGGTAGCCAGATATCAAACCCACTCCAAAGATGGAGTAATATGGCAAATATCAGACAAGTTTTGTTACCCAATTTTGGAGTTTTTCAGCATGTACTGTTGTATCCAAGCTACGCTGATTGTATTAGAGTTGATAGTACTATCGTATTCCCTGCTCAGGCTGGAATAAGTAGAGAAGGACTCGAACGCAGCATCCATCAGCCGAGTTGAGTGCTTAATACAATGAGTCACATCTCCTTCCATATTGTGATGAGGGAAAATACAGGGTGTTTGGCAAATACTCAGCACTAGTAATCTCAAGTCATGTTCTACTTACTTATAGTTTTATAGAATATGTGTGTAAACTAAGGGATATTAAGTTTAGAAAACACTTTTCATTGTATTGATAGAGTCATAGGATCTTTAGGTCTTATAGAATTGGCTGAGACATGCGTTACGCATGCCTAGCCACTGTATTCTTTGTCAAGCAACATTAACTGACATAAGATAAGGTTGGAATAAGCTTAGTGGTGGTCAAAGCAAAAAATGACATGAAACCATGAAGTTTTCAGTTCCAGTTGAACTAATGTCCGTAGCTGATGACGTCAATTGATATGAACAAACCTTATTTACCTGGAGCTGTAGTGTGACATCGTGACCAGCTGGGTCTGCCAAGTGAGGCAAGCAGAACGTTACTCGCTGGTGACATTGACTGGCGGTTAGGATATATATATATATACATATCACGGACATGCAGATGTTGGATTTCATGCGCCATGGTATCGGGTATCAGTGGTTTAATGTTTTATGAGCTCACCTTGTACTTGGAGGGTCCTAAGTTCCAACCCCGGTGTATCCTTACTAATGAAAAGTCCCAAACAGGTACGAAACAGTTGATTTTCGAAAAATCTATGTCATTTCTCTTAACTGTTAGTCTGTGTTCATTAAAACGAAGATGAAGAGGATGTCTGCAGTTCACGTAGTCCACTTTATAAATGACTTTTTAACTCTCTTTCGCTGTCATTTT